TGGATCCGAAGGGTGTGAAAGGTCTTCACGTCTCACGCACATCACGGAGTACACGTGACCTGGCATGTGACCTGTATACACTTATTCCTTCAACATCGTGTGTGTATGTATACACTTTTCACGAATGCCGAGGAAGGGGCATCCGCCGCTGTTTGGCCAGCTGAGCACTCGCCACAATGTCACCCGCCGTATTCCCATGTCAACTGATTCCTGAATGATTTACAGTGCTCGGCAAATCAAGATTCATGCGGTAGCATATCGATATACATAATTCGACATTACGTGGTTGTGTCTCTACACACGGCAAGCGGCTTTCCGGCAGTCTGGTTCTGTTTATTATTTTAACTAAAGGCTGGGTTCACGTGATCATCGGCCGTGTGGCTCAATGGCAGAGCGTCTGACTACGAGTACCGCCACATCCGTGCGAGTTATAAGTTATCAGAAGGTCGCAGGTTCGACCCCTGTCTCGGTCAACTTTTTTTTGCCGCTCACGGTCTGGACTCTATACAGTCTGTGACAATGCACTATATAACCTTGATCAAGCTGCAGACGTGCGTGCAACTTGGTCACTTGACCTTTTGGGCGGAACGGGTGGTTATGCGTTTCTCACACACGATTCATCAGGTACGGAGATCGAATCAGTCGGGTGCCAGGATGTGATGAAATGCCGTGATGTAATGGAAGAGTATTGTTATTTCTACCACCCCATATGTAATTCATGCCACCTGTCCCACTAATTTCCCTTTTCGATTGACCTTTCTCCGTCGCACCCAGCTACCGGCCATCACATCTTCCATTTTCGTTGGCGCTCTTGTGTCAGGGACATCGGTACAAGCAGAGGGTCACTGCTAGGTTGAGCGGAGACTGAAGGTGGAGACCGAAGGAGGCCTCAGGCACAAACGCGCTGAGAGCGAAGGTCCATAACACGATGGCCTCGCACATGTATGGTAGAGGCCAGAGATCAAAACATTCAAGTATATGACCCCTACCTTTGACATCTTGCCCTCAGCCCTCACTCTGTTGCGAACTCCCAAGCCTTGAAAAATTGATCTCTCTTCTCTCTACTACGAGATACAGACCGTTGGCTAGGACAGGATGTCACACTTGCGAATGAACCCCCGACGACCTTGCTGAGGC